AATTATGCTTCCAAAATTAGTGTGCTGTAAATTGCCTCCAGCATTGTTCCTGTTTCCTTTTGCTGGAGCCTGCCATTTTGCAGAAGCCCAGAGCCCCTGAGCAGTAGTAAATATTTAGGCTGTCAGCAAATCAGTCTCTAGTGGCTTTGATTTTCAGCACAGTGGCAAAAAATTGAGAGCAACTGAGCATGTGCAGAGCAAGGTGAGTCAGTGTATTACTGGTATAGGTACTTACAGTATTTTTACTTTCAATAAATGTTTATTGAGGATTTTTCGAGTTTTGAGAGTACAAACGCAACTGCTGTCTTGTGTAAGTAAGGTATAATAATAATAGACAACAGTGCATAGAAAAAAAAACATATTTATGATTGGTAACAATGTAACCAGTATGTCAAAGAATAACATCAACCTTATAGTGACAATAATAAAAGCAGGAGCAAATAAGGGACTATACATCTATTGCCTAACTTCCAGCAATAACAAAAGAAATAGTGGCATTATAAAAGCACAAAGTGTATAGTCAAACCAGAAAATATATAGAATACTTCATAATTCATCCCTGCCAAAAAGAAAAAAAAAGGAAGGGGGGGGGGGGGGCAGGAGGCAAGAACGTCGAAAGCTTTTAAACCTGGGCACAGTATTTTTTAATGTTTTACATAGCTGTACCTGAAAAAGGGATCAGTCTGAAGGGCCCTCCTATCCCTCTTGTATTGAACTGTATTGTCTCCCTTTATATTGTAAAGTGCTGAGAAAACTATTGGTGCTATATGAATCCTGTATAAAAATAATAATAATCTAGCAGGACTATAAAGAAGGAGCTATACTTACCAGGATATGCTATCCCTTTCCTTCATGCCCTGCTCTGGTCAAAGCCAGGAGCTGAAGGAAATACCTCATACTTTGAAGTATGGAGAAGCATCTCCATGTGACAACACATAGCCAATCAGTACTATCATGTGGATGTCCATATCCCTGTGTAAGCTATCGCTCCAGCCACTTGTCACCTCTGTGGAACTTTTCCTTTCTGGCTTGGTGGCTGAACAGAGCCAAGGGTGGGGAGAGAAAGGAATTGGCGCATTACATGGGATTTATTTCTCATCTACTTGCTTGTTAATTTTAGCTGCTAGATGGCAGTACATGCTGAGATACGTAGTTCTTTGTCATCTACGGGGTCTAATATTGGCTGTGCAGTTCTGAGCACTGTAGCATTGGTTGAGAAGCAGCATTATGTCACTTTTCAGCTGTGTGCGATCTGGGAGTATGCGGTCCTGCTCAAGCTCGCTGCTTGCCTGGGGTGTCTAGTCCTGACACGTCTCTTATTTGGCACATCCACGTGTTTCTTGCTCGGGATACTGCATATCAGGGGAGCAAGGAGATGCGCGCTGTGACGCTGCACAGTCATTAATCATAAGTCGTGTTCAGCACACGCAGAGCTCCTCTCTTCCAGCCCCCTCCTACTCCCAGAGCGTGCCGAGGGTTTAGTGACAATCCCAAGGATCACCTGAACAAAAATTCTTTTACTATTTAATTGGCTTCCATCACCTAATGCAAGTGGGGGGACGTCTTAAAGAGCACAAATGCTAACACATGCAAGGTGCTCTCATAGTCTGTGATCGTTTATGTACTGCTTATCTATAAATGACTGCTGAAGATATTTCAATTAAATTGAGATCAGCGTGCTGTGTTCTGATCTACTTAAAGGCCAGTTCCAACCAGAATTAAAATATGTTTAGCAATAACCTCATAAGCTTTAACATGTTAATGTCATGTAAAAAGCAATTTTCGCTGGTCATTAATCTGCAGCTTTCATTAAAAATAATCCTTGATGATCCTGCCATTGAGGTCCTTGTTCAGACACTTCCTGGTATAAAGTGACAATGCTGTGTCCCAGTCAGACAACGTCATGGTGCTGCAGTTTTCTGGAGCTCGAGAGGGTTGCACTGCTAAACTACCAAAAGTGCCCCCATCACCAAGGCAGCAATGTGCGTACCCAAGAAAGGACTCAGAAAGTAAAGCTGGGCATACATGGCTCCGTTTTTTTTAGTTCACCCAGGCGGCTGAACAAAAAAAACTGAGTCGATTTTACCATCCACACATATAAGGTGTATGCAGCAATCCTTCCAGCTGTGCCATTGTATTCTAACAGCTGGACTCCCTCTCCATCAGAATATTCTAGCACTGCAAGCACTGATCGGCGATGGAATTCAGCCGTTCTTGCTGAACCGGATGAATATCGATCCATACATGGCCAGAGAGGATTGGAATGACAGCAAAGCAAATTATATTTTCAGTAGAGGTCAATAGCGTCATCTTTGCATTTCACTCCATGTGTTTCCAATGACTACAGTGAATTGAATAGTCTGGTTTCAGTGATTCATGCAGCCTTGACTGAAAGTAGACCTGTTTTCGGTACATGTGTACTGCTGTATGTTCAACAGAAGCCAGTCTAATGACCAACTCCTGTTGAATGGTCTTGCTGTAAAGCCAGCATTCAGTCAGAGCTTGCAGCCAATGGCTGCAAGCGCTGATCAGTGTATTCTGCCAGGGGGAATCCAATACAATAGCACAGCTAGAGATATCCCTCTGTCACACAGTGTTGTTTTGAAAAAGGGGACCTGTCAGATTTTTGTCATTCAACCTGCTGGTAGAACAACAGATAAAAAAAAAAAGCTACCTGTGTTATACCCAGCTTACACTTCCAAGTAATTAATACCTCACTGAGATCACAGTAGACCCCACTGAAAATGCCTTCATCTGCTTTTCTCTCTAGAAGGATGACACCATCTTTGTTTAGGCATCATCCAGAGTCACCATCTATTTCCTAGACTGGGATGCCAGCTTATAGATGACACAGTAAATACTGGTGCCTGTGCAGTTCTGGGCTCACAAATTTCTCACCCTGTGACTTGCTACAGTGTAACAGTTGATAACTGGGAGAGAGAAGACTGAGGAAATGCTTCCTCTTACGTGCAGCTTGTTAACATCCTAATCTAGGCAGTCACTAAACTGGGGCTCAAAAACGACTTTGTACTGATGCTGCTGTTGTAGTATTATGACGTGTCAGGAATGTATTCATGCAGACTGAAAGATTAACCCATTCCCTGCTGACGTCTCTCCTCCGTAGTCAGGTGCGGCTTGCCTGGTGTGGTTGTATATACAGTCAGAGGAGTTTTTCCAGCCAGTGGTTACTGCACACATTCCAGCCATTCCTGAATTCCTGCAGCAGAGTAGGGGGGGTCTGTTCCCCTCCTTCTCCCTCTGCTGATGAGTCACATTCCACTGTTTTATAATGACCTGCTAATTGTGCTAATGATGCCTTCACACAGACACACAAAGCCCACACAGCTGTGACAGGCTTCATCACAGTTACTTGTCACAGAAGGTTGCACCTCCTTCCCTGTGAAATCTGTGGTGGCTGCCAGCCATCCTTCCTCTTAGCTGATTCTAACCCAGAAGCTTATTGCTCAGAGAAGTATTAGTGGGGGCTGTCGTTGCTGACTTGTAAAAAGGCTTCAGTATATTCTGAGTTGCAAGCATGCGTCTAGCAAAGGCTGAAATCTTGATCTGCATGCCTGCTTCTGGTCAGTGACTCAAAGCACAGAAGCCAGACAAGCTGTAACACAAGCCAGACAACTAGCAGCTTCACAGAGGTTAGCGGTAGTATCCTACATGTCCCTTTTATGATAGGCTTTCTTTAAAAGGTCGGTTCATCTGGACCGTAATTTCAGTTATGGGTGGAATCTGACTGGGTCTATTCTACTAGCATGTTCCCTCGGATTTTGGTGAGAAAGAGACCGAGTTGCACGAGGGTTTTTGTGAACCCACCAGAAAACTCCATTTGCTAAGGGTTCTCTGGCCTGTAGCCATTTTGACTTCTGATTTTTCTACCAGCTTGTAAAACTGAGAAATGACAAGTGAGGAAAATTTGAAAAAAGAAAAAGTTAAAAGAAAAGTATGGACCCTAAAAAAACAAAAGTGGATACTCACTTAAGTGGACCCAATGCTGCATCTGTCCCCCGAAGGCTCTGTGGTCGAACTGGGCGATCAAAGACCACTGATCGCTTAGTTCTTCCCTCCACTCTGAGCAGAGAGCCACGATTGCCAGTCTCTGGCTCTTTGCTCTGCCCCTCCAGTGCTCCCTGGAGCACTGGGTAGTGGGGGGGGGCTGTTTTCAGAACCTTGACCGGCTGAGTGACGTGGCCGACAGTTGACGAAAACAGGTCACAGGAGTGCAGAAAGAACTGTGACCTACCCAACATGTATAGCCAAAAAAATTTCGCTATTTGGCTGTTCTCCTTTAAAAGCCAGTACAACCTGTTAAAAACCAACAAAATCAAGAAAAAAAGTATTACCTTTAGGCATGTTTCTTGGCTTCCCTGCAAAAATAAAAGGTTGTGTCTGGTAATGGGTATAGAAAATAAGAAAAATGTCATAACTGTAATAAAGTAACAACTGGCTGAATTATATGCTGAAATGTTAAAATCTTTTTTAAAAAGGTCTATTCCTACCATAATCAAATATGATGTTCTTTTTTCCAATCGAAGCAGCAGACACTGATCAATCCTTTGTGGAATGCATCATTTGCAAGGCTCAGTGTAGTTAACATCCTGGTTGTAAGACCAGTGGCACTGTACTAACTTTCTTTTAAATTTAAAGTTTTTATATTTCCCATGGTAGTTTAGCAGTCGCCGAATGATTATATAGTCCCTTGCTGTAGTGGGAGGACCTGGAAGTCTCAGTCTCAGTCTGAGTAATACATAAGTATGTATGTGTGTGTTAAACACAGGTACCAGCCTAAACCTGTGTGCAGAGCTTACAGCCATTGATTTCTGTGGGTGGTGGTACTTGGCACCTGTGTCTCCTGGGTGGGGTTTCAGTTTTACGTTGTACGACCCCAAGTGCTATGTGTTTGGGGCCTAAAATGTAGAATAAGGACAGGAAGTTTTGGTCACAAATAACTTCAGTTCAGTCTTTTTTTTTTTTTTTCCCTCTCTAAAAAGTAAAACTTGGGGAGACTACTTCACCCTGTCAGATCACCGCACTAGGGCAGTGTTTTCTCAACCTTTTTTTCAGTCAAAGTTAAAATTAAAAATGGACAGTCTCGAGGCACCCTTTAAAATTATGGACAGTCTCGAGGCACCCTTTAAAATTATGGACAGTCTCAAGGCACCCTTTAAAATTATGGACAGTCTTGAGGCACCCTTTAAAATTATGGACAGTATTGAGACACCCCATTCTAAAATGTAAAAAAACCATTCTATTAATTTTATATAACGCAGCAACATCCACACATGGACACCCAATGCTAGAGGGTATTTATACTTCCAAATCAAATACACTTTTGCACACTGGTCCTGACTGGTACTACAGTATTTCTCTCAGTTTTTCTTCATCAAGGAGCTAATGTGACCCCAGCACTGACAGAGAGGGGCAGGAGAGGGTCAAACAAGGATGCTCTGCAGGCAACCGACATCCTCCTTATCACAGATCAGGACACCAGTGGTTAGAAGGTCATAATGGCACACAATGAAAACCTGTGGCTTTGTGTAACTAAAAGGCAGGCTTCTTCCACCCGCTAGCTTGTATACAAGCTTTGTGCAACTTTTAGAAATTTTGCTAAGGCACCCTGGTTGAGAAAGACTGCACTAGGGGCATGGTAGAGAAGTTTTACCCATGTGATGAAACCTTCACCAAAGCCAAAGGGCTCTAGAACCTTCCAAAGGTATTCCCACTTGATGCTAGAGCCCATATTATCATCCGGGGTCTGCATATCCACAAATAGTCTACACAAATCAACTAAGGTAGATTTGTGGGGCATAGAGCCTGCTTGATCCGGATGAACTATAGAGGTTATACATTTATTACGTCTAATGGCTAGGATCTTGGCAAGTATTTTAATATCCGATTGCAAGAGAGAGGTGGTACTATACGAATTGGGGTCCGTAGGGAATTTACCGGGTTTTAGCAACAGAATAATGGTGGCCCTGAACATAGAGGCTGGAAGGTCATAGGGTAGATTAGCTAAAACTGGTGCACTCAGAAGCTTTGACAATAAAACCTGGATGCTGATTGGTTTCTATGTAGAATTGCACCACATTTTGCACTTGATAGTTTTAGTAAATAACCCCTGGTGTCTCTTATATGCAACCTTAAATACCTCTAGCAGCCTGTGCAGAATAAGTTCTGCTTACATCTTAAAGATCTCCATAGGGAGACCATCATCCCTTGTTGCTTTACAGTTGGGCACAGACTGGTCACCTTCTGGACTTCCTTGGAGTTCAGCTTTAAAGCTGAACTGAATTGACCTAAACCAAATTACCGTGCAGAGGATTTGTAATTTGTTTAGCAAGTCTTAGGATTCAGACAAGCATGGTCAGGGTAGTTCCTTCACTTATCTGCACTGCAGTTTATATGGCACAGCTTGGTCAAGATTACTTCCTCGGCATACTCATTGGACAAAGAATGATCTGCAGCATGGTGACACATCCTTTCATCACAGCATGTTTGCAGACAGCATTGTACAACTGCTGCAGAACCTGATTGGCTCAGATTAGTGCCTCAATCATACTGGCAATGACATGTAAACGTATGACGTTTAGAAAAGCATGTAATGATTTTAAATAATATAATTCACCCTGTGCTGTTATCTGCATTCAGATGTATTTAGTTATCTGCGTTTAGACACAATAGAATTCCCTACATCCAGGGCAAATTAGATGTGAACACATTTGAACACAAGAAAACACAATCTAGGAAGCATAACATTTGTTTATTAATGCAGGAGGCTAGTATGAATGTAGCCTTACAGAAAGCTGAAAAGACCAAATTCATTTGCTTTCAGATTACATGACGTAATTCCATGAATTCATCATAAAAATGGATTTCACCGTGATTAATAGGTGGTAACAAATACATTGGTGAAATACCAGGTACAATAACTGGCAGACTTTTAATTAATAGTCGAAAGGGATGAAATTTTGAATGAAAAGTGGTATAGTTGCAGTGTTCTTTTCATTGCTTAATAAATATGCCTGTAAGTTTCTTTCCTGTTGAAGACCTGGCAGGAAATTGTCTGCAGGCCAGATCAATGTCCAAAGGCCTCAGCTAGACAGATGTCACTATATCTGGTGTTTATATAAGAGAGGACGCTGATGGTCGTTGGCATCATGGAGAAGATGGTGTTAAATATTTACAGATTGTTAATAGAAATGAAGTTACTTAGCAAATACCACAAATAATGATACTCTTTAGCCTTGGTTCACATATGTGCGGTGCGGTATATCACGTGATTCTCATAGGAACCGCACCTTTTTCCTGTGCAAATCACATGCGAATTGTATGCGGTGCGATTGGAGCTGTACATTTTGTAGAACTCTATTCGCACTGCACCCGCACCAAGAACGTGCAGGACCCTTTTTTGAGTCTGCACTAGAATCGGATTGCATAGGTATTCACACCTATGCGATCCGATTCTGCACACAGCACTGCGTTTTGCGGACCGCTTTCGAGGTGTTGTTAACTTAACATACACACCCACAGCGGTTCGCATGAACGGGGTGCGATTCGCACTGAAAACTCTACGAATATCACACCGCATCAGTGTGCTCCAGGGCTGAAAGTGGATACATGTTTGTCTTGTCAATAAATGTTTGCCCATTATTCCTTTCCTTCTCCATACTCTTCCCATCACTCTGGTACAAGTTGATCTTGGTCTCCTCTGTCCATAGGATGTTGTTCCAGAACTGTGAAGGCTTTTTTAGGTGTCGTTTGGCAAACTCTAATCTGGCCTTCCTGTTTTTGAGGCTCACCAATGGTTTATATCTTGTGGTGAACCCTGTGTATTCACTCTGGTGAAGTCTTCTCTTGATTAAATATTAAACTAGTGTAGCGCTAGTAAACGAAATCATAAAAAAACATATGCAAATCAATCTTTATGTGGATAGTGAAAATAAAATATATAAACCCTGTGATAGATCTCACAGTGACCTAATCATCTTTGTGCCCTACACACGTGCCACTTAATTCATAAACAATATTATATTTATAAAACATATATATCGTGATAGTCTTATTTCATATTTTACTACTAAACATATATCATGTGATAGTGCCACTTCAATTTATACTAATCCACAGTCCAATGTTCAAATAATGAAAAATATAAAACAATATAATTCCGGTGATGCTATATATATACATGCAGTGTGTCATTAGTGCCACTCGTGTAAACACACTCTTCCACTCCAGCTGCAGTGCCTCCTCACCTCCTTTCAGCAACCCCTAAGGGCCTACAAGCCTTTAGGATCACCCTGGATCCTCAACAATCCTGGTTGGTAACTCTCCTTCCCAGGCTGTCCTCCTATTTGGCCTCCTCCACACCTTCACCTCTATGACTTATAGGGTCCTCTAAACCGATCCTCTGCAAATTCTCACTCACATAATAGTGAGCCAAAAAAGAGATCTTCCATAGTGTAGTAATTCAAGTTTAGCAGAGTGTTTATTTGAAAAAAAACACAACAAGAAGCAACTCACATTTGCGTACAGTGTCTTCCTCTCCCCTGTATGGGTAAACTGCACACATGTGTTACTTCCTGGAAGTTTGCAAAATGGCGTCCCGTACCGGAAGTGCGTCATTCCAGAAACCGAAAGCTGCGTATCAGCGTGCCTACGCGTTACGTCACGTGGTCTCGTGACTTCCTCGGGGTTGTTGACTTGATTGTTGACTTTGACACACATACACCTACCTCCTGGAGAGTGTTCTTGATCTGGCCAACTGTTGTGAAGGGTGTTTTCTTCACCAGGGAAAGAATTCTTCCGTCATCCACCACAGTTGTTTTCCGTGGTCTTCCGGGTCTTTTGGTGTTGCTGAGCTCACCGGTGTGTTCTTTCTGTTTAAGAATGTTCCAAACAGTTGTTTTGGCCACGCCTAATGTTTTTGCTATCTCTCTGATGGGTTTGTTTTGTTTTTTTCAGCCTAATGATGGCTTGCTTCACTGATAGTGACAGTGACAGAGATCTCATCTTGAGAGTTGACAGCAACAGATTCCAAATGCAAATAGCACACTTGAAATGAACACTGGACCTTTTATCTGCTCATTGTAATTGGGATAATGAGAGAATAACACACACCTGGCCATGGAACAGCTGAGAAGCCAATTGTCCCATTACTTTTGGTCCCTTAACAAGTGGGAGGCACATATGCAAACTGTTGTAATTCCTACACCGTACATCTGATTTGGATGTAAATACTCTCAAATTAAAGCTGACAGTCTGCAGTTAAAGCACATCTTGTTCGTTTCATTTCAATTCCATTGTGGTGGTGTATAGAGCCAAAAATGTTAGAATTGTGTCGATGTCCCAATATTTATGGACCTGACTGTATTTACCATAGTTTGTAGACACTATAACTTTTGTGAAATCTAATCAATATACAATTATTCAGATTATTTTTACTAAAAAAAATATGTAACCGAATACATTTTGACCTATATTTATGAAGAAATTTGATTTTTAAAATTGTTTATTGGATATGTTTTATAGCAGAAAATAATTTGCTGCTTAGCCATTCAAAAGAAGCTTTGTATTTTTATGAATTAATAAAAGGCTTCCTCTGAATGGTTGAGGTAGAGAGGTGGGCAGATGATGTCACATCTCTACCTCAGCCAGTCGTAGGTAGAGTATTGTCATCTCTAGTGTGAACACAGGCAATTCAGTTCCTTAGTTTACTCTGTGCCTCGCATTCTGGTCTTCCTGCAATCAGGTCTTGACCAAGACTTGGCCTTAAGTTCTCTGAAAGGACAGGTTTCGGCCTATTCCATTGTTTTTTAAAACCTCTGGCTACACTCTCACTTGGCAAAACCTTTATTCAAGGCGTATCGTGCATCAAGCCCCTTTGCAGCAATCTTTGCTTCCTTGGGATCTCAGTTTGATTCTCTATGCTCTGCAGAAGGCACTCATTGAACCCATCAGGGATATCGCCTTAGATGACCCCTCCTGCAAAGTGTCCTTGTTGGTTGCTATCACGTCTGTTTGACATGTCTCTGAGTTGGAAGCTCTATCTTGTAAGGAGTTGTACTTCATTCTTCACAATGACAAGGTAGTCTTGCTTTCAAGATTATCCTTTCTTCCCAAGGTAGTATCGGTCTTTCACCTCAGTGAAGACCTAGTCCTACCATCCTTATGTCCTGCTCGAAAGCATGCAAAAGAAATTCCTGTCCTCTGTGTGGATAGAGTCGGAGACTCTACCTCAAAGCAACAGCTTTGATCAGGAAGACGGATTCCCTATTTTTCCTTTCATCGGGACCTCGCAAGAGACATCTTGCTT